CCCTGTTCTGTTATATTTGTCTCCTATTTAATATAATTGTGTTTATTATAGTGTATGTGTTTGTGTTATTTTCTGGGAGTCTCCAACTATCTGTCAAGTACGTGGGGATTCCCCTGGGTTAGAATTTTCCTCCCAAGCTGTCCTGGTGACCCTGCCAGGAAGGAGTGAGGGTGGTGGAGGCACTGCCAAATAAATCCATCGAAAAAAATAAAGTTGAGTGGGTGGCGGGATCCAGAAGAACCCAGACCTGCCCATCAAAACCTGTAAGCAGATTGGCATTAAAGAAGATAACCAGGTGGAGAGGGGCACTACACATGCTTCCCTCTCACGTCCTCTCCCTGCTGTGCCCATTCGCTTGCACCCACAGCTCCTCCATATCGCCTCAGCAGGGTGCATGCTGTGCAGAGAACCAGTCCCTGGTCGGGTCATTTAGCTCAACAACAGCCTGACTGGCAGGCTCCTTCCTTCCCCCACTGCCTCGGACTGGGCTGGCACCCGGGGAAAGCTCAGGACCCTTGGCCTGGGGTGCTTACCAGGAGGAGCCTGGCCTTCCATGTGTCAAAGCCCCACCCAGCACTGGCATGGGGAAGCTTCTCTGCCTCTCAGCTAGACTCTAGAGTGGTGCAGAGGAAGCTATTTCCAGTCTGAGCTCCACCTAAGACCCCAGGTGGGGCTTAGCACCGCTGCACCCCACCCTAGGTCCTGTCCCCAGGGAGTGAGGGGCTGCTCTGTCCCCTCAGCACTCTCCTTTGCTGAGCTGCTTCTCTGGCCCAGTTGGCTGAAGCCCCTACAGCCAGGCTGGGGCCCTGTTTCTCAATGTATCTTTAGGGTTTAACCCCCGCTGCCCATATTGTAGCCAGGGAACAGGAGGCAGCGGGGTTATGTGTGTATCCAGCGGCAGCGTGGAGGTGTTAGCTGCCTTTCAACTCTGTGTGGGCAGGAAGGGACAAACAAGCTGCTTCTAGCCACAGGAGCAGGGGCCAGGAGGGAAGATATGACAAAAACACAGGCCAGGTCATCCCTACCTCAACCCCCAGCCTGCGTCAGCTGGAAGCAGCTCCCATCCCTTGTCTCCCACACAGCGCCAAAAGGCTACTGATTGCCATGTTTTGGAGTGAACCTCAACAGAAATCTGGGGAGGAAGGCCTATT